GATCACTTTAACTAAAGATCTAGCAGCTTGACCTCCTCTTCAACAACACAGGTGCTTTAAATAAAAATATTCTGATTTGACACGTGTTTCTCTGCTCTGTTGATGAGGAGGTTCAACCTGTTTTGATCACAAAACAAATACTAACAAAACACATGCCAAAGCACGCAGGGAAGAAATCACTTTTCTTTTGCTTGTAACATTTTAGCTCTCAGTAGATGGGAATGTTCTAATGGAGAGAATGCACTTCAGTGAAAGGGGAATATTCTTCAACTTCAGTTTTTCCCTCCTGTGGCTCAGCAGGTCATCAGTCCCAGTACTTTTGTCTAGTTCCTGCTCATTTTGGTGGAAAAGCACACAGTTCCTGTTACTGATTGTACATCCTGGCATTGGTTCCTGGAATAGCGTCATCAAAATAATTTAGCAGATATAGTCTGTGTGTGTGTATTAATTCAACTTCACCAGTAGACCAGCGAATACAATGTAGGAAATTGACACATTTATTATTTGCCCCCCCTTCCCAATTCACAGTGTTAATAGTCTACCTTGAATATGTCTCACACTTTACACAGAGATTTTCAAAGTAAGATCTCTGGGGATCAGCTCCTTGGGATCTAGACAGACTGTATATATCTGGAATCAAATTAAAGGGAGAAATCGGCACAAATACAAGTACTGGACCATAAAAACGAATTTATAACCACCACTTCTAAAACATTTGGTCAGAGATATTACTTCTTAAAGCGACTTCCTCCCATTGAAGTTGATCAATATTCTCCTTCCATCGTTTGCACCTTTGTTTAACTTTGCCTTGCACCTGTAACTGACTCACAGCAACTTTAACCTGATTTGGAAATGTCTGCTCTCTCTGCTTCTCCTCATTATCTTCTCTCATTGTTGCATTTGCACTGAACTGAAACTCTGAATGTACATCATGACTGTGTGTCCTTGTTCATAGATATGTTTGATTCTATGCCTGAGCAAAGCCCCACCACAGAATCCAAAGCTGCTACCACTCCTAGCGTAGACCTATTTGGTGCAGGTACAGGAGCTGATGATCCATTTCTCTGTGTGGAACCTCTGTCCTCTGGTTTCCATATGTCCAACTCATCTGTCCTCTGTTTTCTATTACCTTGGCGTGGTTGTGTTTCTTTGTCTCCCCATAGTGGTATGAGAACTGTGCATGTACTCTCGCATTCAGTCTTGGAGTGTTGTTGTGGCTGCTTTTCTATATCTCTTCTGTTTTTTTTCTTCTTCTTCCTTATCTCAAATCTGCCACGCTAATGCTTTTCTTTGCTCCTCGTCCTCTATGATTTCATTCTCTCGCTTGCACTGGTCATTAGACCTTCCTGCTGTTTCTCGTGGGCCTTCTCCTTTACCCGAGCCTGCTCCAGCTGGAGATATTGTAATAGGTAAGTTTAGCTGCTCTAGTACCACAGCATTCCTTGCTTCCTATTTAACCCCCTAAAGAGTGGAACAAGAACAGCAGATTCAACTTTTTGATTAGATCTTGGCGCCTGCATGCGTATGCACTCAAAACTGCCAGGTCCACATCCTGCATGCTCCAAGAATGTGGAAACATTTGGGATTCTTGGGTGCTTTCCTTCTTCTGTTATGTCTTTTCTGCATGTTGGCAGCTACATTTCAGACCAAAATGGTTTGGGTTTTTAATTTTCCTCCCTGCCTCTGCTTCTCTGTTTAGACTCGTTTACATCTGCAGCTGCTCCTCCTCCTGCTGCTCCTGCTGCCCTGCACTAGAAGCCTCTTCTCCACCTAAAGCAGAACCTGTACCGGTCATTGACCTGCTGGGTACTTCAGAGCCACACCAACACCTAAAACACACACACAAAAAATCTACCAAATGTCTCATCATTGCATAATTCATATTTCTTCCTTTTTGGTTTGGTTTTCATCTGATTTGTTACAGTAAGAGATGATTGCTTGTAACACTAGCACTAGGAACTGTTTAGTGGGAGAAGGTGCAAAATATATTTTTGCTGTATTTAAATAGATATTAACAAACTATCAACGGAGAAAAGGTGGTACTTTGCAGTACTCTCTAGCTGTACTAATGAAGTATTCCTCTGTTTGGTGTACATTTGATTTATTGTACAAAAGTAAAGGTTGACCTTAGAGTAGAACTAAAGACTGAGTTTTACCCATGTCATTTAATATGTTCATAACTAAAGGTGGCTCAGAAATGTTTACAATTTCAAGCAAAAACTTACATGTTTTCTTAAACAGGGTTTAATAACTGGAATTATGATACCAGCTCAGTGTACCAAGGTCGATGTAGAGTCAAATATAAATACAACAGTTTATAGAGGTGACCTGGTAATAACCTAAACTGTCTCTTCAGAGGGTCATGGTTATTTGTCTTGGCCTATATTGTGTCTCACCATCCCCATCATGTCTTAGTCTGTGGCTCAGGTGTGAACTTTCACCCCTTTCTGCCCTCCATGCTGCTTTTTTGGATGAATGGACGTGGCTGCAGATACATTTGGAGGTGCTGTGGAGGAAACACAGAGCTCTGCTCCTGCAGGGCTGGACGGCGACCTGCTGGGAGGTTAGAGCACAATAGTTTGATTTTTTTTTTTTTAAAAAAAGAAAAAAAAGTGTGGCAGTGAGGTCTTTGACAGGCACACTGCTGGAGAGTCAACTTAAAATTGCTCAGATTTGAACTGGACTTGAATCTATGTGATCACTGTTTCTGAAGTTTCATCATTAATTGTACCAGTGTTTCTACTTGCACCACTAAAAAACACTTCTCTATCTATGCTTTTATCTAATTAAGGTCTGATGTCCCCCACCCTGGCCCCCACTGCTGCTCAAGCCCTGGCTCCCTTGGCTTCGAGCGACCTGTTAGCGTCTAGCTTTGACGGTCTCAGCTCGCTGCCGTCACCGACTCCACCTGTACCTGCTGCAGTTCCTGCAGCAGAACCTGCAACTACCACACCAGCGCCCTCTGGTGGTTTTGATGCATCAAGTAAGTTGGTCAACTATTAGTTCTGTTTTTTTGTTTGTGCTGATTTCGTTCATATGCTTTGTGTCGTATACCGCAGCCGCACATGTCTACAGATTGTATCTGCATGTGGTGAATCAAGTTTGTTCTACTTCATTAAATACGGTTTAATCTCAACATCAGACAGTCATTGGCTCCTGCTGAGAGCTGTACAGCTGCATGAGTAACACACTGACCTGCTGTCGCTGTCTCTGTCCTCCTGACATGACCTGAGTGTTGTTTCTGCTTACAGCCTAATTTCTTAGCACTTTTCTCTCGCTCGTGTTCTCTCACTCACTCTCCCTCCCTCCCTCCCTCTCGTTCTGTCTTTCTCCTTCACACCAATTCTCTTTTTTTTTTATTTCTCACCCCTTTTCCTCACCCACTCCACTCTGCTGGGTCATTGTTTGCTTCTCCCTATCTGTAACCGGTGAGTTTATTTCTGCCGTTCATTGCAGCATGTGCTGTATGGAAGACCCCGCCCCTCGTATTGCAGTTTTTAATATATAAGTATTTGTGCTCTGCATGTTGTAAAAAAATCTGATCCCTGCATGTGATTCAAGTGGACTGATGTCTGTGAAACACACACTTTTTCTAACACATTTCTACTGTTACTACATCAAGCCCAGAATTCTGTAGTAAACTGCAGGTTTTCATTCCATTTTTTAACTAGATTTGTTTTCTCTATATTAACATAAAAATTATTACTATTATCTAAAATGTCGTGTTGTATCCACAACCAATGTTGTTTTAAAAAATAATTGAATCAGATAATTCAAATGAAACATAACCAAGCTGAATGAGTGACTAAGATAAAATGATGAAACTTGTTGTAGCTGTTGGCAGATCTTTTAAATACATGGATACTGATGAGTGTTATTGTATCCACGGATCTGGATCCAGTTGGAATGAAAACCTGTAAAGTCTTTGACCTTGATGACCTCTGTTTTTAGAGTATTTTTTTTTTTTTTTTAGAAATGTAAATGATTTACGGTTCCTGATGAAGAGAACCAACACAGTCAAATACAGTGGATTTACTTCAGTCTCTCTGAATGCTCTAATGTACTCAGTCCTCCATTGTGCACGGGGAATGAAAACCTGTAAAGTCTTTGCCCTTTCTGACCTCTGTTTTTAGAGGATTTTTTTTTTTTTTTAGAAATGTAAATGATTTACGGTTCCTGATGAAGAGAACCAACACAGTCAAATACAGTGGATTTACTTCAGTCTCTCTGAATGCTCTAATGTACTCAGTCCTCCATTGTGCACGGGAGGCACTGATGATCAATCAATGGATTGCCTCCCACAAATGCACACCTACAGTCCTAAAGGGCCAGATTAAACATCTGCAGATTTTAAGATGCTCTTGTTACTGTCTTGTCCTCAAGTGTTCGGTGGATTAGGTGATTTGCTGATGCCTGCAGTAACACCCCAGAGCACAGGGGGCAGCACAGCGGGCAGCGTAGGAACTCCGGGTGGAGCAGTAGGTGGCATGACAGCCGCTCCCCTGGCAACACCACCTTCTACAAAGACCATTTCAGGAGACTTGGACTCATCACTGGCCAACCTGGTTGGAGGTAGACAGCAGATTTGTTTTTACCCCTGAACTCAGATATTTCAAAACACGATTTATCAAAGTGAATTTCATGTGTTATGATGTTTTCCCTCTTTTCAGACCTGGGAATGAAGAAAAAGTAAGTCTAGAGATTGATGAATAAATGTTTATTTATTTGTAGGTTTTGTGATTTGATCCCAACATGTGTTTGACCTCATTCAGGGATCCACAGAGTGAGAAGAAGTTGACAGGTGGCGCCAACTGGATGCCACAGGTCGCCCCCACCAGCTGGGCTGCACCTGGAGCCCCAATGGTCAGCAGAGACTCATAGGATTTACCTCCCAGAGTAACATTTGGTGTCAAATTTAATGTTTTACTTTTAGACCCTGGCAGTCTGTGTCTAGGCTGGCTAGGAGGCTATTTTTTTTGCTTTGTTCCACGCAAGTTGTGTTTTCACACCATTGGTTCATATACAGTACGTGACTGAGGTCTGTCTCCTCAGACTGGTGCCACCTCTGGAGCTCCTGGGGCACCGGGCGCAGCACCACCTCCAGGAGCCATGGTGCCACCGATGAGTGCACAGCCTGGCTTTGGCATGGTGAGAACTACTACGTACTGTATAGTTAGAGTTGAATCCATTCTGCTCAACAGTGTTGTTCTGCTGCAATAGGTCAAGAGACATGCATCTGTGTTGTTTCTGTCTGTACAGCCTCCAGCAGCAGGGCCTGGAGCTCCCATGATGCAACCCATGATGGCTCAGCCGATGATGGGGCAGCCCATGATGAGACCTCCCTTCACAGGCATGGCTGGAGCAGCGCCTGGAGCACCAGTAACGCACCAGACTTACTACTGGTACACATTTGTGTTCAAATATGTGTTGGCTGGTGCTTATGTTTTCATATTTGTTTCACAGCTTTCTCCAGGACCAGCAACCCAAAGTCCTAAGAAGCCCAAGGACCCACTGGCAGAACTTGACCTCAAGGACTTCTTATAACGCCCCAGGTGTGAACAGGGTTAAAGAGTCTGGGTGAAAACAGGCTCGTGTTGTTTAGTTCTTTAGCTGAAGGATGGCATAGAATTGATCCTTATGTGTCTTAAGGACCACATTCTTAGAATATGAGATTGTACAAATGATTACCAGGGATTTTGGAGAAAAGAGTGATGGAAATTTCTCACCTTCATTCAAAGCCAATTGGCCAACAGCCAATCAAAAGAGGGAATGGCTCTAGAATATCAGATATGAAAACAAGAAAACAATTTTAAATAGGGAGAGAGGGGGAGTACCAACACCTTTGGTTTTCATCAGACACAGTTGTTTAGTGTGTGATCGTCAGGAGTTCTGTTGTCATAAAAAAAACCTGCTGAATCCAGTCTGCTGGTGCGTACTCCAAGCCTTTTTAAAATCTGTAAAAACTGTAGTTATCTAGTTACCTAGGCATGGATGACCAACAAAAGATTTGTTTAAAAGAAAGGACTGTAAACCAGTATTCAGATGTACTGGTATACTATATAGTATACAAAGGTCAAATACCTGGATTTTAAAATCCAGAGAGAAATTCCAAGAGAAATGACTGATGTTTCCTTTATTCCAGCTTTGTCTCTTCTCTGGAGCATGAAGGGCCGCCTCACAGTTTTTTTACCTGGTGTCCGTCGAACATCTCAGGATGCCGGTGATGCGCAGCCTCTCGACTCAACACCACTAACTTCTCCTCTCCCTTCCCTGTCCATCCGCACCCCCGCCCTACTTCTGTGTGATGTCGTAGCGAACCATAGCAGATAATATCTAATTATAAGAGAGACAAAAAAAAAAATGAGCGTGTGCTTACGTACGTAGATGTTTCAATCTTTTGTCTAAACAATACAAAACAAAAACCTGAAAAAAAAAATCCAAACGTAAAGGAGTGAAAGTGAAGGCGTACACGTGTTTAAACTTCTTTCTAGTGTTGCGTTGAATGATGGATGTGCTTTAGTGTCATAAGCTCCGCCCACTGCCCTGTATTTATTTGTCTTCGCCTCCTTGTGAAGGAGGAGCAGCTCCTGCTCCACTCTGACCTGAGAAGAGTGGAGGAAAAACAAAAAACAAAACAAACAAAGCCCTGTTAGATTTTCAGAGAATTACTGTATGTGGTGTGTTGTTTACAGAAAGGTCCTCTTGATGTACATAGATTCTCCGGTGAGGATTCACTCTGTGTCCTGTGTGTCTGTATGAAGAGAATTCTAAATGTGAATCTGACATGAAACTGTCCAAAGTCGTGTGAGTATCCTTCTATTTCCCATCGTCACCGTCATCCGAAAGTATTTGGAAACGAATAGGAAAACCGTTACATGATGAATCTATTGTATAGTTAAATGAATTTCTGTGGGCTTCTCAATCATGACAACCAGCAAAATATGAGTTCAGTTAGGTTTTTTAATTACATTTGACTTCTGTTCATTTTTTTGAAAGTTGTCCTTTGCTGCCATTGCTATTGAAAAGCACATCTTACATATTAATTCCTCTAGAATGAAAGAAAAAGAAAATCTGTAGTTAAATTAAAATTGTATTCAATTTCTTCACAGATTGTTGCTTTAATCACTGTTTACAGTCATGTCAGACTTCTGATGCAGTTTGTTAATGTTCAACAGCATCTTCAGGTTAAATGCAAACAAAGTGAGAAAACTCTAACTTAAAAAAGAAATTCCAGAGCAGATCTTTTCAGTGTATTTCCCTTCACATTTAATAATCAGACATTATTTTAATATATCTCGGTTCATCGAATCGTGTATTTAAAGCCATTACTATTGTTGGGATATTTTACTAAGGTTTGTTTATGTAAACAGTGAGATTTGACCAATACATAATCTCTCTGTCACTGTGGCAGTCTCTCTGATTTCTGTCATGGCTTGTGCGGCCACATGAGGGCACCATTTACCCCAAACCGTGATCTTCTCTCAGACGAGCCTTCACACAAACTACTTGTGTTGCCATCGACGTTCTCTGAAATTAATTTGTCCTGGTGTTGACGTGTTTGTGGACAGCTAGACAGCGCCACTCCCTGGTGCTGCTCTGTCGACAGGCCACACTGTGTGAAGGTCAGACTGGTCATGTCAGTAGATTGTGGTGAGAATCTGGCGAGACTGGACAGAAAGTGTTGGTGGATAACTGACGTTTTACATGACTTTAATATTATAGATTGTATTTTTGTTTGGTTGTAAATTTTATTTTAGTTACGATGGCCGTCCCCAGTGCATGTAAGCCCTTGAGATGCAATAAATTCAATGACGGATAAAAGTGTCTTTAAAGGAGTTTTTATTTTCAACTAAGTTTTTCATCTTTTAAAAGAGCCTGTATTCAGTTCTAGGATTATTACCTGTTGGAAACATCACTTATACAGAAAACTAAAATGGAGGATTTGAGGAGAAATGGAAAAGTCATTTTCAGTAAAAAAAAAACAAAAACTTTAATTTGTCTATTAATCTTTGACCTTGCTCCAATAATCAACACTGTTTGGTTATATGATTTTTCTACCACCTCCCAACATGAGCCATAATGCAGCACTAAACCATTACATAGCACATCATCATCCAATCATGTTATCCATGTTACGCACTCTGTAGAATTCGGTGTTATGATGAAGTTTGGACAACGACAGACCTGACTCTATATTTACAGCAGGTCTGTGCTACATCAGCAGTAAGATTCATTTTTCCCAGGTGGCTGGAAAACACCCCAGCAGAATTAGTCAAGTTTTGGGTCAATATATATTTTCTATAATTTTCTGCCTCTACGATTGTCTTAATGCCATGTTGCATTACTTCTGTGCATCCAGAACTGGTGCATGTCAAGTTCTGGATGCACAGAGGGAAGTGGACTGAAAAGAACCACAATAATCATCAGCTCTGTGACTATACTTAATATATAAATAAATGTTGGATACAAAACTGCGGCTCAAGACTTATGCAAACCACTGTGTATGGATTTGATGAGTCCAAATTATGCCCCGGTGATCTTTCTTTTGCTGAATTGCAAAAATGCCTTCCCGCACTCAGCAGAACTTTCTATAGCCATCGGTTCTTTCTTTAAAAAGAACTTCATGTCCATGTCTAGTTTTAACACGTTGTAATTTCCGTCAGCCTTGTGTTAGATTATCGTAGTCGACGTGACACTGTGCAAACCAGAGACAATGTAGAATACTGTAATTACCCCGGCAGAAGACCACTGACTGATGTTTGCCTCTAGCCTGTGCTATAAATCTCTCATGTATGGACTGTGATTATATGTGCAGTGATTTGTCAGGGGTCTGGAGAGAAGAATAGAGGCGTCGAGATGTAGGAAAATGTTGGCTCACGATCACAGGTCAGGACAGTGTTGTGGTGACATGGGATTTATTAGGGAGTTAGTAGAACAACATCCAGGTATCACAGTGTCATCGAAGATGAAGTGTCATGCAGGTGACAGTGAGCATCAGACTGGAGAAACAAAATTGTATGTGACCTTAGACGTGGCAAACATGAGCGAGCCAAATGGGCTGGTCTGACGATGACAGAGACTGCAGGTCTGTTGGAGTTTTCCCACACAGTTAGACATGGGTTTCTTTAACGTCAGCTGTTAGTAGTCAGTCTATAGTAGTTAATGTCCTCAACAGCTTCCAGATCTTAGTCCAACACAGCATCATTAGGATGAGGTGGAGCAGAGGAACCGCAGCTACTTTTAAAACAAAAATGAAGCATTGATAACAGCTGAACAGCAAAACCTTGAACTGACACAGTCACCGATCTGCCCCTAATGAAGTTCGCTATCAGGACTGTCACAGACACACACACATACACACGAGCAGATCTCTTGGTTTAATGGCAAAAAATGTTTTCACTCAGCAACATTAATTCCAGATTAACATCAGGCATTTGGTATTTGAAAACATAGTTTGGAACATGAAAACATCACAACCCATTTTATATTGCATCTGATTGGTATTTACCTGGACTGTATGTCATTTGATCATTAAATCCCCCTTAAAATGACAGAAATCTACAAAGTCTCAAGTAAACTGTTAAAGGGTTCAGTCCCATGTTAACACAGCACAAATATGTAGCCTCACATTAAATACATAGTTACAGTACTAGGCTATCAATATATGTACTGAGAACCACGCCCCACCCCCCAACCCATAAAAAACAATTTTATAAATTAGCACCACGTCTTCTTAACAAGCACCGATAATATTATGCGCACAACAATGAAACCACATTTCACTGCTTTGCATAAACAGAAAAAAAAACTGATATCCAGAATCCACAAGGACCCTTTCTTTATGGTGACAAAATAGTCAAGAAGAACAAAATCTAGATATATACAATGATATAAAAACACCAGCTCATTACATTAAAGTGTTAAAAAAGTTCTATATTTATTAGCTCTATATTTAGTTTTTATAACAATTTTGTTTCTCCTCTTATGTTAAAGCTAAAGCTGCTAATTTCTCATACAGTGGTCGTGTGTAATGGAACCAGGACACACTCACACATGTGTAACTTTACTGTACAAAATGGGGACAAAAAAATTTCAAATGTAAAAAAAAGAAAAAATGTAAATACATACAACTTTTTAGTCATTTTTTTAAGCAAATAAATAAGAAAACCCATAGGCCACCCAATCTGTGGATGAGTCCCTGTTGTTACCTGACACTAGGTTTACATGGTGTGTACGGTATTAGAATTAAACTGAATTCTACACATTGCAGGACAAAAATGTGTGGACAAATGTCAAACAATAACACCAACATATTTAATTTTAACTGTTTTCTCATCTTTTGTGTACTACACTAAAATAAAAAATGATTTTCTGAGAAAAAAATTCTTAATAAATTCTAGACTATGGAAAAGGAGGTTCAAAATCAAAGCTTTTCTCACAAACAGGGCTAAACCAGGCTGAAGCAAGTCTACTGATTAAATGTAATGATCTAATGAGAAAAACTCTTCATTCATCTGGCACAAAAACAAAATGTAACATCATTTTAAGAACAAAATTTACACAATGGAACATGGTGCTGGCACCAAATGACATTTAAAATGCAGATTGTAATTTTGAAATTAAATATTTTGATGTCATTGGTTTACATAGGAAAAAAAACATTGCCTATCAACGTAGGTGTGTTAACTATTTGTATCCACCGGGTGGAAGCACTGATGAGAGGCACAGGAGGTGACAGGAAGGAAGAGAAAAAGAGAGGCAGTCTTCGGGCCCCTGCTTGGAGACAAGAGGTTGAAGGTTGGGGGTGGATGGGGTTAGAAACGATCAGGTGATCAGGGTCCAGTCTTGTCTTAGGCCACCTGGCACTCACTTGAGTTCCCGTGCACCCAGTAGCAGATCTGAGCATATTTGGCAGGCGTTATTCTCACCGCCACATTGTAATCCTGCTGCATTCCATTCCCGTTTACATCCACCCACTGGTGGCCGGAGAAAATGCCGATGATCTTCCTCTTCCACTTTTTCTTGCCAGGCTCTTTAAGGCGGATGTAGACTCCGGAGCCACTGGAGCCGGGTTTGGCATCGCAGTACTGATAAAGTAAATCGTTGGACTCGTCAGACACGGAGCAGAAGCGATAGACCAGGTTTCCAGGACGGTCATCGTCAAAACCAGAGAAGTGGATCCTCCCAGCGGGAAGCTTCTTGACGGAGGGCACGACTCCCAGATCCATGTGTTTGACCTTGGGAGCTTTCTTCAACTCTAGAACGGCGTAGTCGAAGTCTGCAGCCAGTCCATTAGACACTCCTTTGAACCAGCCCTTAGGAATCTGGGTCTGTTTGACCCTGGTCCACCTGAAGGAAGGTTTCTCTGACTCTGCGCTCCTGCGACTCCTGCTCTTCCTTCCTTTCCCTCTTCCCTTTTGCTCTCCTTTTCCACCATTCTCCTCTCTTTCCATTTCTTCCTCTTGATCTTTCTCTCCCTTCCTCCTTTTCCCTTTCCCTTTCCCTCGTCCACCTCTCCCCTTGCCTCCTTTGCCTCGTCTGGACTTCTCCTTCAGAATTCCCACACGGAGCTTCTGGGCTCCGTTGAGATAATCCTTCCCATCATGGACGCAGTGAGCAGCAGTCAGGACATGTTTGGGAGACACTAAAACCCCAGAACACCCTGTGGAGATCTTCACAGAGGTGGAGAAAGGATATTTGGTGGAGAACTGCTTATCAGAGATGGTGAAGCGAGTGTCCGTGCCGTAGACCTCTCGTTTGTGGCGCAGCTTATTCGTGGAATTCCTGGGCCAGTCGGTCACCTCGTTGAGCCCTTGGACCGACACCGAGGTTAAAGTACGTGTACCGTTTTCATAGACGGTCTCGTAGGACAGGAACTTCTCCAGGTCGTGCAGAGAAGGACCAGGAAGGTGACTCTGACATTCAATCCCACAGGTTCCACTCAACTCCAGTTGTGGACGGGCGGAGAAGTTGGGGCTGCTGAGATGAACGGTGTGTTGTTTCCTCAACACAGGAACCTTCCACTGTGGCCAGGTGTAGTCATCACTGACTGTGTTCTCCTCAGCAGCTGCAGTCACAGCCAGGACCACCAGCAGCAGGAAACACAGAGGTGTGAGGCCCATTGTTCAGCTGGGCCTGGCTCTGGAACATAAAGAAACAGGAAGGAACATTTAGGAGAACCCTTTGAATATAGAATTCAGAATAATAATAGAATCAGAATAGAATCAGATCAGTGACATTGCCAGAAGGTTCCAGGGATTGTTGCATTAGTAGGAACCTCTAGAAGAATCACTAGTACTAGTAAAGAAACAAACAAACAAACCATATTAAAGTAACAGAACATTTCTGGACTCAACATGCTGATGTGTTCTTGGGCAAAACAACCCAACAACTATCTCACACTTCATCACTTTGATTTTTTTAAATTATTACTTACAGATGGCCTTATTAACACTGTGACTACATGACTGTAATGGATACATAAGATGTATTTTAGTCTAAGGATACATGAAGAAATATGCAGTTGTTGCCTCATTATCATTATGTTTAAATACAGTGTGTATTTAAACACCGATATCAACACAAAATCAAACAGCGACCCTAGGCTTCCTGAATGACCTAACTACAGGGTAAAACTAACAGTTAATAACACTGGTGAACGGTGAGCCGGGTAAATTAAATTAACTTGAACTCGAACATAACTTGATACTTTGATGCATTTCCACAGGAACTGATGGATGAATATATGAATGATGAATAATAACAGCTGATTTTTCTATTTCTGATTTCCTGACATGACATCCTTGCAGTAAGTCCTTGGTTTGACTTCAGTCTTGACCAGACTCTGGAAGACTTTATTGTGGTAAAAATCTGTGTTTAATGTCACTGATTTACCACTGTCTTCAATGGACTACTATATTATAGGGATCATAATTTAAAACTCTTTACCCTGAGTGTCAAGGTTGATGGTGTAAATTCTGAGAAACCAAATGCAATATGATGACAAAGCAAACAGTTGCCAGAGTAGGCTGTGGGTTCAAAGACCCTTTAATAAAACACAAGGCAAAGTGAATCGTTTCAGCTGATACCAATAAGAATTAGCCAGTGTATTAAAAAACAGTCAAAGAGAAGAACAGAAGGGAGTAGATCCAAAACCTTTAGCCAAATGTGTCAAAAATGTATTAAGGAGCTGCTAACAGCTAGTCAACAAACCAAGGGTAAATCATCATTACTTGTTGCAGCAAACAATCTTTAATGAGCCTTAAGCAAGGCAAATGAGAGAAAAACTACAACAACCCCCAACCATCGGTACCGATAAAAACAGTTCTATTTACAACCACAGGGTGGCAGTGAAGAGTCTTAATATTATTTATAAATGCAGATTATCGTCAGGGAAATCCCAGCAAATCTGCCTAAATCCCCTTTTTCACTTTATTAAAATCCTTTCGTGTTGTAGAACGAATGGTGTCACTGGTCTTAAAATAATCTCCAGCTCTGACAACATTTTCTCTGGAGCTGATGCATGTGCTGTGGTGGTTTTGGAGAAGATTGATGTCCCCCCCAAGTCTGTCAGGAGGCTGCGGGCAGAGAAAAGGGAGAGATGAACCCCGAATCCTCTGACTGGGCTGAGACAGTGGCTTGGAGGTTTGCCACAATGGTCAACCTTCTCTCTCAGTAATGACCATATCTGGTTTCTTTAGCTCCACTTCACTCCTTGTCCAGGGACAGAGATGACAATAAAACAGTGTAGAGACGGTGCAGGCTGCAGACTCAGCTGATAATCTCTGCTCCTGCAGTCAAAGTGTGAGGCCGGCAATAAGCCGTGATCCCTGTAAAGAGAGTTGCAGCGTGGGATCGCTCTAACAGATTTAGGATGTTGTGTCACTGAGCCGCAGAGTCGGAGAACCAGAGGTCCACAGACACTCGTTCTCTTTCAATTACATGTTGGTGCAGCATGGGAATGGGATGTTGCCTGGTTTTGTCAAAGCTCCAGGACACTTAGAGGAAGAGCTGTGTGTGTGCGTGTGTGGCATCCCGTGTGGACCATATTCAACACTCAACCTGTGGGTCACAACCTGAGATATTTGGCTGTCATATGTGTTGTGCACAGCTTTGTCTGTTTGTTTGTTGTTCTTTCCAGTCTCCAAAACAACAGCTTTCCCTAAATAGAAACTTTGAAAATCACTGCTTAGTTTTGACAGTAACATTTTTTTCATTTATTTTTTTTGCTGAACCTGCAAAACTTTTCCTCGCCTTCTATTCCAGCTTTTGTTCTGTGAGTCCGTGCCCTGCCATGTGCCACACAGCCTCCAATAAAACAAACCCAGCCGCCAACAACTGACCACAGTCATAAAAGCCAAGGCTGCAGCAGCTGTAAAACACCCTCCACATAGAAGAGGATGCAGAAAAATGACCCAGAGTTTTTGGATAACTTCACACTCCCACCATCAGCAGACTGAACGAACCCAGAAGAAAGCCTGCAATTATTCAGGACACGGAGTGGAAACTGATACGGTGCCATCACCGTGGCTCTGTCACAGGAGGCGTTCGATTTCGCTACTTTTCCACTGCTGTCAGCTGAACACATAGCTGTGCCCCCTCCATCCATCTATTCATCCATCCATGGAGACAAGTATCTGTTTTTTTAATCACGTGACCAACAGATGGCGCCGTGGCGCATCTGTCCAGCTTCCCTTCAGTATGTGCCAGCACTTCATCAACTTTAGCAAAAGGGAAATCTATTTAATTGAGTTTGGTACATTTGATTTACTTCAACCTCTTTTTCCCTCCTCAGACACCAGACTCTGCTATTCAAAACATTTGAGCTTCCAAAACTTCATCCAACAAACAAAGAACCATATTCAATCACTGACAAAATGAGCCCCAAGCTAAAATCCACTGAAAGGTGAAAAGAAAAGAAAAGAAAAGAAAAGAAAAGAAAAGAAAAGAAAAGAAAAGAAAAGAAAAGAAAAAGCAGTAAATGTTAAAATCCTTTGGAGAAGTGATACTTAAAGAAATGTTTTCACCATAAGGACGATGCATCTTTCACTGGCACAGCAGGGCTTTTTCTCATGCAGTTCTCAATAAAATACACAGGACAAGTCAGCAGAAATATAAAAACAAATCTGCAGATTGTCAGTAGATATGAGAATTGAAGTATAAATATAATAATGCACTCAGCTACAATAACTCAAAAAGTTAAATGAAAAAAAAAATCCAGATTCCAGGACATCCATCTTACCTGCTTGCATCCGATTGCTAAATAAATTCAAATCCGTAGTGTGCTATTTGTTTGTTTTTCCTTTTGGTATAATATATAAATATATGTTTATGTAGAGAAAATATGATCCTCAGCTGGTTCTAGTGCATCCCAGATCTCCAGGTCTCAGCAGGGCGACTGCTCTCTGCTCCTCATGACTCCTCTAGAGAAGCTGAGAGAGAAAGTCGCAGCCAGGGACGCTGTGCTCAGGCTGCACTTGATGCTGAGGAGGAGGAGGAGGATAGGCAGGAGGAAGGAGTGATGAGGGGGAGGGCAAGAAGTAGGAGAGGGAAGGGAAAATGTCTAACTTGTCACAACAGCTGTTCACATATGGGTGGGACCAGAGAGAGAGAGAGAGACAGACAGACAGAGAGAGACAGAGACACTGCATGTACTGGGTGAAGTTGGCGGTGCATTCAGGAGCAAGAGCGTGAAGGGGAGACAGAGAGAGAGAGAGAGAGAGAGAGAGAGAGTTAGTTTGCTGAGTTCAATTACAAAATAAATATTATAAAATTAAAAATAAAAAAAAATCAATTCTTAAAATTACACACTTCTGCATGCTACAAAAATTGGTATTTACCAGAGGAAAAAAATAAAATAAAATATTTAAATACCATGAAATTTATAAACAACTTTATAAACAATTGCTTATAACTCTACAAAAATAGGACAAAGAGTTAAAGTAAAGCTAACAACTACAAACTAGCTATATATGTATATGTAACTGTACATATACAGTATATGTATATATACAGAGAGGGGCGGGGCAGGTTTATATATAGAAAGGAGCAATCTTTTGATTAAGCATAAAAACTGCTGCTGAATGTACTTCACCTTCGAACCCTGTATGCGCTACTGGGTTGTGCAGCAACATTGTTGACTTATCCACGCCTGAGCATCTCAGATGAGAGACAATGGAAACATGAAGGTCTACATGTCTACTTTGAATTGATGATGTGCATACAGTAGATGAAGTGATGAAGTATATAACTTGTGTGTTTGTCATTAAAAGCTTGGTCACAGATTTTGAGTGCATTACTAACAACACACACATTGCTGTTTTAACTTCATTTGTACTGTGGCTGCCTTGAAGTGAGTGTTTGGAACGTCAGTGGAAGACTGTGAGAACTGCTGAGATCATTTCATACTTAGCCTCTATTAAAGCAGAGGACAGGAGCAGAAAAACAACCAGTGGCCTCTGGCTGACAGAGAGAGAATGTTTGGTGACCAAATGAATTTCAGTGAGGGAAGAAAAGACACACAAAGTATGTGTGTAGTGAGGAGTAGTAGATACGCATCTGTTGGCGCCAAGTGGAATGATGTCACTGGGAAAAAAGACATTTGTTACATCTGTCAATAAAAACAACCAATAATTAAAAATGTTGATGAAATCAACATTCATAGATGAAGTCACATGGGGGGACGCATCACAAGGACAGTGCAGCAAAACAAATGGATTTCTCTTTTATATTTATATTTTTTTCTCTTTATGCCACAGTGGGAAAATGTCACCTATTTATAATTTTACTCCAGCAAGAAATTTGGTTTTGTAATAATAAGTGTTTAAATAAGAGTTACTGGAAGTTAAAAGCATTAGCTGTGAATGTGTGACAGTAGGGAGGAGGAGGTTGGGGGCGAGGGCGAAGTTTTTGAACCTCCGAATTAGACGATGTGAACAACTCCCTCCAGTGACCTTGATTTTCTGGATCTCATGCCTCGTTCTAACTTTTCCCAGTCAGTTCCACTGTGGGTGTGTTGGAAAAACCTTGTGTACGTGACGTCGCACGGAGTTTATTTTGAAGCCACAACTCGCTGCCGCCTTCCTCAAATCACTGATGCCACAATAGGTAAATTATGTAGCCAAGAAGTGTGGGTGGAGCAGAGGTGGGTCGCAGTCATTACAGGCACTGCATCAGAGCGTCCTTTGAAAATGTCTTTCTCTCTGATTCTCCTTCGTCTTCATCACCATTCCGTTCGAACCTCAAAGTGAGTTTCCTTTCCCAGGGACTCTGTGGAGGAGGAAGGTTTTCCTGCAGCATTTCAGATTCTCACATCATGTGTACATATGACATCACAGCAGAGATGTGGAAAGTTGAAAATTCCCACGATGTGTGAATGGACTTCAAGTGGTGTTGGAGACATCTTGTATCAATCAGTGTTTCAGTATAGATGGATGCTGATAATCTGATAGTACTTTCATGTATGTAGTTACACAGTTAAGTGTCCAGACTTAATTGCAAAAAATACATTTTTAAGATATCCATAATTAATGGGTATTTTTTAAGCTTTTTTTAACCATTTGTTACAGATTCTACTGTGATTTTACTTTACCATCCAGCGATGCATTTTTTTCTCCCTTTTCCTCTTCATCATCCTTGACGTAAAAAAAAATTCACAGGCAGTTTTTCCATGAACCCACATCCAGTTGTACTTTGGATTTTGTAGGATGTTGGCTTAAACCAAGCTGTGCTTGATCCTTATCTAGGGAGCCACTATAGTGCCCCCATGAAGAGATAAGTTTCATATCTAACCAACTTTGCACCAGCATGGTTCCCCTACATGAACGCTGCCCGAGTTTTCACGCTGCTTTGCTGAAGACAAGGCTTCAGTCACCAAAAAAAATGTTTATTCAAAAAAATACTAGTACTTTGCATAGATGTGTTTGTTGAAGCTGTCAGTCAATAATTTTAATCTTCTATATTCCATAAGAAGCTTAAGTGAATTCCAAGGCAGAGAAGAGCCAAACTATATCTACTGTTGATTGTTTTTTCATGGTAAATTTATTGGATCTGCTTTACTGGAGCGAGCACACTCTGGTCCACTGATTGGACCAAGGTTGTGACTGAACTGCAGCCTATATGAGGTTCATGTCAACGCTTGCTTGTGTGTAAACATCCTGCATCTTAGAGACAAAAGCAGTTTGTCAGTGAGCAACAACTCAATGTTATGTTAATGTACGTTTGGGTAATTGAAGGTGGATCAGCAAAGTCAGAGGTTATATTTTAAAAAAAGTGATTGGCAGTGGTAAATGATGTTGCCTCATAGTGAAAAAGGTCATCAGTTCGTGTCCTGGCTTGGGCGAAAGATTTCTGTGCTGACTTTGCTTGACCTCACCACGCCTGCATGGGTTTCTACAAATCCCTCTCAAAATGCATAGTGTACAGGTGAAGAAGTTTAAAAGATATTCTCAATTAAGGTCAGAGGTCACTGTCAAGGATTGCCAACTCATCCAAGTCGAACCGTGACTCAGTTCCGTAAAGTTTTGTAGCTACATTAATTTTATTTTTCGTTACTTAGTGATTTATTGGTTTACCTTGGTCACTGTGTTGTTTCTGCAGCTCTGTGACAAACTAAGTTTGGTTTAAATGTGTTTTAGAATCCAAGTTGAACATATCTCGTCCAACGTCAGCTTGGTTTGGCACCAGCTCCTGTTCAACCCTTCTCATAATAAAGCTGTCGAAGAATCAGAGAAGTTTCCACTGAAAATAATTCCCAGTTGAGAGATGAATGGTTTTTCTTTTAATAATGTGGTCGTTTTTGTTCATGGTCAATTGATGGACCAAGTGTTGTGAGTTGGTCCTGTATGAGTTCAACAAAAACAAAGAACTGTTATCAAAGCCACAGAACATTAGAGAACACAGAGACACGGTGAATGTTCCTGACTTCAGACAAGTCCAGTGTCAAAGGCCAGTGATGAGGAATGAGACTTAGGGAATGAGTGTGTGTCTGCGTGTGTGTGAGAGACAGAGAGAGAGTGCGAGAGAGAGTCTTCAGCTTCACTTGCTTCCAAATAGAAAAGCAGTGAGTGATATTTGTGGCCGTGGTCGGGGCTGTTCGTTGTGGATAGAAGGGCTTTTGTGCCCACCGTCACACCCTCACGGGAAGTGCTCCCTTTGGGCTCGGCTGGATTGGATGGGTGCTTATTGGAGGAGGAGCAAAGGTTCAGGAATTTCATTAGTTGTTTGGGTGAGACTTTCCCGGTCTTCTAAGCACTCAAGGAGAAGAATGCCAAGTTTTTGACTGTCTTTGTGAACATGCTGTGACTGACTGTGTGGTGCCATTCTCTCGCTTAGTCAAACTCAAGGCTGTTTCAGAATAAAATGATGTATTAACTTATGATTGAGTTAAAAATGTGCCAGATTTTGGGAAAAATACCAACCAAATTATTGCTTTTATTGGCCGTTAGCTCCATTAACACATGGAAAAGTTAGGGAAAACAAAATGTGTCCCACAGTTGTCAGCAAATGGCACAGATACAACTGAAATATAAAAGAAAACCCAACAACTTCGAAATACCAAATACATTAGCTCGAATGTAGCAACAGTTAGTGCTGAGGAATAAATATTGAAAATATGAACAAAATACTTCTTAAGATGACTTACATACAGTCACTAAAGACAAGGTCAAAACATTAACGCAGATTTTAAATGCTGTCATAACCTATACTAAACTGTGTTTTTAATAGAATTCATGGCTAACTGCATTTATGGCTAGGACGATTCAAGGCTGTTTCTCTGGATATTGCAGCACAGACCAAACTAATAAACCAGCTCAGGACTGCAGTGACCCACAGTTCACTTCCACAGGCTTTATTTGGGAAACTGAATGGTCTTTGAGTTCTGTGTGATGTGAAACAGAAGTCCATTGATCTGTTAGGTCCCTACCTCAGTGCCTCCACACCAACACACACTCACACATACGTAAGAACACTAATACCATATAGTAAATATATACTGTAAAAGCAGTAATAGGACAGTTGGTTAAAGGTCTTGCTTGGATTGAATTTTTCTAATAGTAAATATTTAGGTAAATGGTCAGCCACTCTGAAGGCAGGACGGCCTGCCTTCAGAGTGGCGACTGTATGTGATGAAAGGCTGACTGAAGGCACACGTGCCTCCCTGGCTCTCATGTGCAAATGAACAGGAGACCACAGTCCACTGAAGAGACACACTTATGGAGAGAGGTCATGACACTGTCAGCAGTTGAAAAAACCTCAACCTTCAAGAAAGTCCACTTTTCAGGAATTAAAGAAAAACTTTGTCAGAACACACGTACAGTTGGAAGGAAATACGCTCAGCAGCTTTCCTCAGACGAAGGGCTTTAAATCTCTCAGGGTCTTGTCGATGAGTGAAGGTTGGACGAAGCCTTGGATTGACAGGTTGGCCAGTGCAACACCAGCAGGAACATTGACACCATGCCAGCCTGTCCTGGAGAACAAGAAGCCGTCTTTGAAGGGCAGTGGATCTGAATTCCAACCCTCTCCTGTGGTCATGGTCTCTGTGTAATGTAGCAAAAAGATTTAAATTGCTAGATAAAATGAGTTTCCGCTGCAGGGGTGGCTTGGCTCAGTCAGGGGACGACATCCGGGGAAGAAACTCATAGTAAAACAAGTGATCCTGAAAGTAAAGTTCAGTGTCTGTAAAGCATCGGCTTCAGATGTCCCCTGGACGCCTCCATGGGAAGACAT